TTTGTTAGTTGCTCCACATTTATCAGGTCCAAACATAATAGAATAGGGAGATTCATTATCAAATCCTTTGGGCAACCACCCAGCATCCTGGGGACGAAGGTACTTGATATAAGCACCACCACATTCAAGCCCATTCTGGAAGCGAACTTCATATTGGAGAACAACAGTTCCATCTTTGAGGTTGACGACCTCATCAAGCTCCTTGACAATAGCATATTTCCTGGCTGGCTCACTGACAAGAAGCCCGTAATCATCGTGCCCCTCACTCTTGGAGTGTTTCCACACACCTGAGAGACAATTAAATGCCAACATAAATTTTCAATACTAAATAATTTGAGCAATATTACATCCATATAAAAATAATTCAAAAAAATGCACGATTCGGTACTGAGTAAGAAAAAGTGTAATTAATGAACTTAAAACAAAATTACAGCAAATTTACTTGCTCTTACTATAATCTCACGTCTAACATTTGAAAATAATGTAAACATGGATGGGTATTTTGATTTATAAGGTTAAATACACCAACCCTTATGGCTCTTTTAAGCATATTGTTGCAACCAAATTGCTTTTAGATTTTATGTACTACTGCCATTTTTACTATAACCATGAACCCGAACAACATTCAACAAGGATAAATCATAAAAAATACCAAAGAATGCAACTTTGGGGGGCATGCCTGTGCCCTGTAGACTGTAATGGCTTGTAACTCAAATGAATAAAGCATAAATGCATAATACCAGCACAAGTAAAATATGAAGCAATTAAGTATCTTTTTCCTTCATTTGAGAATGTAAGGATACCATTCATCTAGCTTCCTGAAGTAACATGTTTATTTCACACATTATTTGATTCAAGTCACCAAATAGTTTGCTCCAATGCCAAATTTTATGATGCTGACAATTTTTTTCGCTTTCTTTTCTCACGTGAAGTCATTTATAGTAGAGACTAGAGACATCTGGTCAAAGGTCAGAATAATTTAGTATTCAAATCCTAAATTCAGTCTTCATAGTTTTAGTGCAATTAAACTAAGAGAGCTGTTATAGAAGAACATCGCACCTACACTTTGTGCACACAGTTTCATATTGAGTACAAAACACCAACTAGTAAAACATATTGATCCTCTGCATTTTCCAGGGCTCACTTGAAATATAAGATCAGCATTTAATGTACACAACAAAGTTGTATAAACATCAGAAGAGTACAACATGGATGCAAACAGAAAAAAATTACCTGTGTAGTCCTCTTTCCCAGACACAATCCATCTTCCATCAAACGCATCATCGAACGAATCGTAGAAAGTCTATAATCAGCAGTAATCGCAATCATTTTCTAAAAAATTCCAGATCCAAATATATGCAAGCACATAGACCTACGAACATATGTATCTACAAATATGAAGCTCACCCCATCAAAAGAAGCGTGCAGGCGAGAAACGAAGCAGGCGATGAGTAGCAGCAACACGCACTGCGTGAAGATCCTCCGCTTCTTCTCCTCCATGGTGGAAGATTCAGCTCTCAGAAAATTCAGATGCGAAACGAACGAAAATCCGAAGATCTGAAGAATCGAAATGGTCGAGATTTATGGATCGATCGGAGTAGGCTTTTTGGCAGTTGGAGAGAGTGAGCGCTGAATAGTTCAGATAGAGAGAGCGAGCGCGTATATATATATACCTGTCGAGAAAAGTGGCGTAAACTGTCTCAGCTAATGTTGTTACTGCCACGTGAGGGGAACCAATTAAAATTGGACACGTGGAATGTTAGACAGACAGCTTTAATTGTTGGATCAACGTTTGCGATTGGTTTGAGTAGTTCACCCGCTAATGCCCTACCTCGAATTCAAAATTGGAAAATGCAGTCATCGATTGTTAAAATGAAAAATGGTCTCAAATAGACCTTTGAATTATTAAATTTTTTTTTTGATCAAGATGAGGGTATAACCCAGAGCTTCTATCAAGCCCCACTCCCAGCTACTCTTCCTCGTGGAGCCCTTCGAGGGTGCTTTGCTCCGATGCAGTCGTGGTGAACGATGTCCCGGATATCCAGAGGTATCTCAGTCATCACATGCAGGCCAATGGGATAGGATAGAGACATAGACGCAAGTGCATCAGCCACCATGTTTTGTTCCCTGTACACATGTTTGAACTCCACCTGCGCCAGCCCCAAAGTTTCGCGGAGGCAATGCCCAACTATGTTGTTACGATCCACATTACGGTTCCTCATACTTTCTATTGCGACTACCGAGTCACTTTCCACGATGAGCTTGTCCACGCCTACACTCTTCGCAAGACGAATTATTAAATTAAAAGAATACAATTAACTCTCTCTCTTTTTTTCTTTTTTTTTTTTTTTAACACTCATAATCTTTTACAAGATAATATATATTTGATCTTGTGATTAGGGGAACATTTCAATATTCGGTTAAATTTTTTGGTTTCGCCATGGATTTGTTTAGTTTAAAAAAAAAAAAAAAAAATTGAAACCATTCACTTTAATATTTTAATTCGGTTTAGTTTTGGTTCAATTTTAAAAAGTTCGGTTCAGTTTATGAACCTCAATTCTTAACATTTCCTAGTGTCCTCATAAATAAATAAATAATTACTTAATTAATTAATTATACTAATAATTTAGGATTCAAAATCCATTATACCCATCTATGGTTTTCGACTACTCTAACTCCCATACGGTCGCGGCCTCCGTGAAGCAAGCGGAGACAGCATCCGACTGTCTTCCCCTACCGCCATCTCTACCGCAGACAACATCCGCCTTCATTGTCTTCCCTGCCTTCACTGTTTTCTCTTCCATTCTCCGCCTCCGTCATCTCTATCGGTCGTTACTCTCTTATTTTCTCACTCTTATTTCCCTTTGTTTTGTTTTACTGGTTTTATTTTGTTTGCAATTTCTGTGTTTTTTCTCTCGTTTTGACGAGTTTCTTCCTCTCGTTTACTTTGCGAGTTCTTTTTCATAAAGCGTGAAACGATAAAACTGGTCATGACGTATGCGAATCTCATTCTGGGTGACAAACATGACAATGAAAAAAAGCGACTCCTCTGAACTATGATATGTAGTTCAGCCCGATGTAGATATTGTCAATGGATAGAAGAATGGAAATAGATACTTAAGTGGTGTGTAAGACTATTCAACCATAGTCGGTCTTGGGTACATTTGATCAGATCATTAAAAAAGCTTTAAGTTCTTCCAAAGAATTCAGTTTCAAATTTGTGAACCAGTATGCGAATCAAGTTTTCTGTAGCATTGTTAGGGAAGTTGTTTCTATGTCTGACGGTAAGAAATGTTTGACCATTCCATCGATCTTTATTGTAAACGTTTCAGCCTATGATTAATGAATTAACTTCTTTATTTAAAAAAAAAAAAAATCCATTCTACATCCATTGAGTTCAATCAAGCTCATTTAATGAGATTATAATGTCTTTTAAAAAAATTATTTTTGGAGAACCCAACCAAGATAAAGTACTTTTATAATTTATTTATATAGTCTAGCAATTTTTTTTTTCCAGATCCAAATCAGCCTGCAAAATAAAAAACAACTAAAACATAAGGGAACAAAAAATCACTCAAATGAATAGCACATGACGTACCATAACCATGAATAACAATGATCCACTCTCATATGTAGGGGTTGGTGGTACGTGGTGTTGTGGTGATGGTGTGGCAGTGGTATTGGTGTGGTAGCGGTGACAGTGGTAGTTATGGAACAACAACAACAACAACAACAACAACAACAACAACAATAATAATAATAATAATAATAATAATAATAATACGAAAACTAACTTAAAAAAGAAGAGAGTGAAGAGAAATATGAAAAATAAAAAAATTTGAAAAATGTCTTTAAAAAAAAAATTAGGAACACATTCTTTGTCAAATTGTGTCTTTTTCCATTAACTAGAATAAAAATTTTCGTTTGGATTCATTTCTTGAGTACCCAAACACGTGAAAATTTAGAAAATGATAGAAAAAATTAAATTTGTAGAAAATATTTTTCTCAAATTTTTAATGGAAAAATATTTTCAAATCCTTTATTTTTCCTTCTTTAGCATTTTTCTTTAAGTTAGTTTTCGAATTACCATTACTATCACTTTTTTTTGAAAGCCAAAAGAATCAGACTGTATTAGCCATATTAGGCGCTAGAAAAAAAGGAGGTTCATCCCTCCAAACTGAACGTGCCAGACTGGCACTTACATGCTTAGCTAGAGCATGAGCTGCCCGATTAGCGTCCTTACCAACGAATCCGACATGAAAGAAAACAAGCGATTACAATAAAGCAAAACAAAACCAAGATAGGTACGAAAAGAATTAGCTTGTCTTAGACTTGAGACCAAAACCAAGCTATCCAAATTTAACGTGACTGTTGTGTAACCATTGTCTTTCAACCACGATTGTCTTCACACATTGCCAGTGCTTCCACCAAGAGAGGATCATACGAGCAAGTAATTGGCCCATTTGCCGCCGCCACAAAAGTACCATCCGCCTCATGAACAATGAACCCAAATGTGGCTGTATGTTGTACCACTACTACCACTAAGGAAGGGTAATTCCTTGAGTTCCTTCTCCCTATCCTTTATCTCCGAATAACACTACCACTTATTATTATTACTATTGTTGTTGTTGTCGTCTTTATCTGCGTCGTTATTATTATTATATTAATATTAATATTAATATTATTGTTATTATTATTATTATTATATAATAAATAATATGTTTATTTTTAGAAAAATGAATAAAAAAAATTAATTTACAGTCAAATAAATAAAGATAATTTTTTAAAATCTTATCTTTAAAATTCATCCAATCATTAAAAAGTTAAAATATTTTTTTTAAAAAATGAGTAATTTTATGAAAAGTATTTTTTTCAAAAAAAAAAAAAACATTTTCTTTGGTAAGTTTTTTTTTTTTTTTTTTTTTTTTTTTTTTTTTTTTTTTTTTTTTTTTTTTAATTCTATAAAAAATCAATAAAATTACAAAAATGATGATTGAATACACTAAAATGGAGAGAAGGCGACTACCTAGTCGGCTACTCCCTCACTCCCTCCCTCCCAAATTGCGGCGAACTGGCCAACGAGTTGAGGTGCAGCGGTGGAGTGACGACCGGAAGCAGGCTGTTGAGTGACGACCGGAAGCACAACACCCTAATCCCCAATTCCAATTTTTACCCTTCTGGGAAGAGACATCGACCCCGTAGTCCCTCCCAAAATTCGTGCGTAGTTACCGCGGACTGGCGAACGAGCTGAGGTGCGGCGGTGGAGTGACTGCCGGAAGCAGGCTGTTGAGTGACGACCGGAAGCACAACACCCTAATCCCCAATTCCAATTTTTACCCTTCTGGGAAGAGACATCGACCCCGTAGTCCCTCCCAAAATTCGTGCGTAGTTACCGCGGACTGGCGAACGAGCTGAGGTGCGGCGGTGGAGTGACTGCCGGAAGCAGGCGGTGGCGGAGATGCCACCTAAAATTTAATTAGCGAGAAAGTCAAAGCTCCAACCTTTATCATCTCTAACAGGTATGCTTACGACCACACTTTTATTATTTTCTACCACACTTTTATTATTTTCTATCATTGTTAGCTTTGATTTTGAGATTTTTAAACTTCTGTTTAGTTATTAATCCCATGTTTGCTAAAACTAGAGTACTCATCTGTCAAATGTGGTCATCTAAGCTCTTCATTGTTTGATACTTTGATTTGGAACTTCTATACAATTAAAAGACAGATTTTTTTTTTTTTTTTTTGGTTGTTATGTTGAGATATTCCTATTACTCATTTTCAAGAACTCTGGACTATATGCCTTACTGTGTTAGCTCTAGTTTTGATGATCCTAAATTTTGATGGTTTGGACTTAGAATGGAATTGTGATTGATATTAGGGTTCATAAATGGGTTGCAAAACCTTGATCAAGTGGCCTAAGCAAATCACAGCAGGCCTGGTTGAGCAGTTAATTAAAGCGGAAAAAGACATACAGAAAGCTATTCTAATATTTGATGCTGCAACAGCAGAGTATACTAATGGCTTCAGGCACGATAATGGCACCTTTGGTATCATAATCTCAAGATTGCTTTCTGCCAACCGGTTTAAGTCGGCTGAGGATATGCTTGCTAGAATGAAGGACGAGAATTGTATGATGACAGAGGACATCTTCCTCTCTATGTATAGAGCCTATGGACGGGTTCACAAGCCACTTGATGTGGTCAGGATCTTCCAAAAGATGAAGGATTACGATTTTGAACCTACCCAGAAGTCTTATATTACAGTTTTCTCTATTCTTGTGAATGAAAACCGGTTGAAAACAGCTTTTAAGTTTTATCGTTACATGAGGGAAAAAGGTATCCCTCCTAGCACTGCTTCGCTCAATATTCTCATTAAAGCGCTTTGCAAGAATGACAAAACAATGGATGCCGCTTTTAATATATTTCGTGAGATGCCCAAACATGGATGTAATCCGGATTCATACACGTATGGTACTATCATTAATGGGCTTTGTAAATTGGGGAGGATTCTTGAAGCAAAAGAACTTTTCGGGGAGATGGAAGCAAAAGGTTGTTTACCAACTGTTATCGTCTATACTGCTTTGATTCATGGCCTTTGTCTCTCTAATGACTTGGATGGAGCCACACGATTGCTCGAGGATATGAAAATCAAACTTGTTGAGCCCAACGTGTTTACTTACACCTGTCTTATGGATGGTCTTTGCAAGAGTGGACGTTCTTTACAAGCCATGGAGCTATTGGAGATGATGATTAGTGAACGTAAGGTTCCAAATATTATAACTTACAGCACCTTAATCCACGGACTATGTAGAGAAGGTAAACTTCGTGAAGCATTGGAGATTTTTGATAAAATTAAGCTTCAGGGGTTACAACCTGACGCGGGGTTGTACTGGAAAATTATCAGTTTATTTTGTGAGATTAACAAGTTCCAGGAAGCCGCTAATTACCTCGATGAGATGGTTCTTAGTGGGGTCCTCCCCAATCGGGTAACTTGGAGCCTTCATGTTAAGATTCATAACACAGTGGTCCAAGGACTTTGTGTTGGAAATGATCCAAATCGTGCTTTCCAATTATATCTAAGCATAAGAACTCGAGGAATTTCAGTCGAGGCGGAGACATTCAAACTTCTTGTTGGTCACTTTTGCAAGAAAGGAGACCTGCACAAATCAGCTCGTATTATCGAGGAGATGGTGATTGATGGATGCATACCCGGAACAGGAACATGGACTGCTGTACTGGATGCGTTTTGGGATAGACGAAAGGCGAAGGAAGCTACTGAGTTGGCATTCTCCGAGCTGATGACTAAACTTATGGAGTGTAAAACCCCGAGCCTAGTTGAACATTGAGGTATGTCATAAATTCCAGTTTTATCTCAGTATATATGATGTTCAAAATATTCATTGTATATGACTTTCTAAGCGTGTTTCATTCAATCTATGGTGGGGAAACCTTGACATTAATTTATTTTTTGGGCAGATTACTTAAATTTAGGTCCTTGAGGTTTTGGTATTCACATAGAGATTGTTATGAGAAAGAAAATGTAGAAGAAAATTACAGTACATAAGAAGGCTCTTTCCAGGTTTGTGATAATTGTTTGGTGATGCAGCACTGCAGCAGCCAGCGGTGGAATCAGCTGCCTCCATTGTAGATCCGCCCATGTTTGAAGGGTGGAATGCAGGAAAATAGTGAAAGTACCATTCCGTCACTCCGTCCTCAAAGTAAACGGTCATTTCACAGACAAACTGACGGAGGACCAAATCGGTTGAGAAATCAATAGTTGAAGATTATTATTATTGTTATTATTTTTTGAAAACAATAGTTGAAGATTTAATTGGCTAAAATTAATAGTTGATGACCAATTAGGTAATTACGACATGGTTAAAGGACCAAAGTGATCATTAATTTGTTATTAGTATTTTTAATACTTAAGGGCTCAATTGCATTATCTGTTTAACCTAGGGTCAATTGGATCATTTTTCATAGTAAGTTTGGAAATCGGAAACAAATATTTCTAAAGTTTTAAATTATTTTACCGCCAAAATAATTATTTCTTTTCAATGTTGTTTTATTTATTGTTCTAATTATTATAATTATTATAATTATTATTTACATGAAATAATGATATTAATAATGCTCTCATTATTATTATTATTATTATTATTATTATTATTATTATTATTATTATTATTAACCAATTAATTATTTACTTAACATAAATAATAACTTTGGTTTATTTATACCAAGTAATAACGACAAGGACAAGGTTTTTCTCTCTCTAGCAAAATCTAGAGTTTTTTCTTCCTAGGGTTTTCCAGGACTTTCTTCATCGTTTCTCCTTAGTTTTTCTACGGTATCCTTGCCGGTTTACCCATCTGTCTTCGTGCTTCTGTCTTGTCGTCGTGCATGGCGTGGCGGGAATAGGTACTGAGGAGGAGGTTGCCTGTCTTTCGACTTGTTGGGCGGACTGGGCTTTGGAAGATGAGGAAGGCGTGTTTGAGCCGACGACTGAGGCTGTCGACGGGGCTGGAGAGGGCGAGGAGGAGACATGGGTGGTGGTTGGACGGTTTTTGACGGGGAAGACGGTTAAGGTTGAGTATATAAGGCAGGTCCTGGCGTCGGTGTGGCAACCAGTACCTGGTGTGCAAATATCTGAGGTACAACCCAACCTGTTCATGTTCGTCTTCTTCCACGAAACAGATATGCTTTATGCCCATTTGAAAATCACACCCTAGTTTGCCGCCAGCTTTCTGAGGGTGCTCTACCGACGGAGGTGGTGCTCGACTCACTGGACATATGAGTGCAACTCCACGACTTACCTCTGGGATATACTTTGGAACTGATCCGGGAGCAGATATGCAACTTTATTGGCTCTTTTGTTAAGCATGATGAGAGGTTCTCGGGAGCTCAATGTCTGTCTTTCTACCGCATCGTGTCTCTATCCCGGTTTCACGGCCGATTAAGCGGAGAATGAATCTGCTCAAGCGTGATAAAACGACTTGCTGGGTGGATTTCAGGTACGACTGTACGAGAGACTCCATACGTTTTGTTTCTATTGCGGGATGTTGGGGCACTAGTACAAGTTTTGTTTGAAAGCTAGAGGAGCGACTGTTCTAGTCGAACAATTCCCGTTGGGTGGTAAGCCGAAGGGGAGTGGCGAGGTTGTTTCTGCTACTGTTAACGGTGGGGGAAGTAGGTTGACGTCTTCGGCTAGTGTGAGGGGTTCGGAGGTGGCGGTGGTGGCTGTCTCGAAGAGGCGGAGGGGAGACGGCCAGCAGTGGTGGGCATCGGCCTGGGAGCAGGGGGAATGATGTTGCGATGCCTGATGTTTCAAAAAACTTGCTTACGGCTGGTCTTGTTTCACAGACCCGCCCAACCCAATGAGTACTCTTAATTGGAACTGTCGTGGCTTGGACAATCCACGTACAGTTCGCGAGATTGTGGACTTGGTGTCCTATAAGAAGCCCGAGTTCGTGCTTTTTTTATTTTTTATTTTTTATTTTATAGAAACCTAGGTAGGGTGGATTCATGCTGAACGGCTCCGTGTTAAGCTTGGTTTCAATGGTCTTTTCTATGTTGACAGTACTGGATTGAGTGGTGGTCTAGCTTTGTTGTGGAGGACGAATAACATGGCCAGATTGTTGAGTTTCTCGAAGAATCACGTTGATGTGGAGGTAAGTGTTCCTGGTTTTGCGAAGTGGCAAATGACAGGTTTTTATGGCTTTCCTGAACGTAAAAGACGAGGTGAGTCCTGGGAGCTATTAAAATCACTTGCTCGTAGGTCTGATCTTCATTAGGTTGTTTTAGGGGATTTCAACGATCTCCTCTTTCAACATGAGAAGCGGGGCGGGAACCCCCATCCTGATGGCCTCCTACGCGATTTCGGGGATGCTATTGATGATTGTGGGTTGTCTCAGTTGCCAATGAAAGGTTATCGTACACATGGGAGAGGGGGGAGAGGAACGGTGGGTTGGTTGGAGGAACGTTTGGATAAAGTGTTAGCCACTGGAGGTGGCGGGAAGGGGTGGTGGGAGCTAATGTAGTGAATCTATTAACCCGCTCCTCTGATCATTCCGTTTATTTCCTTGGGATTTCGGATCCTCGGGTGAGGAAGGGTGGTGAAAGGAAGGGCTTTCGGTTTGAGATGGTTTGGCTGCATGATGAGGGGTGTAGAAGTGTGGTGGAAAAGTCATGGGACGAAGGAAGAAGTATGGGTTTGCAGGATTGCATTGTGTTATGTGGAGACCGATTGTCGCGATGGGGAGGTGATCGGTTTCACAAGTTTGGTGAGCAGATTATGAACCTCCGTAAAGAACATCTACACCTAAGAGGACGCACAGATCCAGCTTCAGTGGCTGAGTTCCAACGTCTTGAGGAACACTTGAGCCGTATTGAAACCTAGGAGGATGCTTATTGGAGACAGAGGGCCAAACAACATTGGCTCAAGGATGCGGATGCCGATACAAAATTCTTCCACATGTATGCTTCTCATCGTAAAAAGAAGAATACTCTCTCTAGACCAATGAATGATTGTGGGGATTGGGTTGAGGGGGAGGCCATGAAGAATGTTATTCTGGAAAATTTTGATAATATTTTCTGCTCTAACCACCTTGAGAATGGGGACAATTTTTTTTGGGGCATTATTCCACAGGTTACTCAGACACACAATGAATATCTACTCCGCCCTTTTGAGATAGAAGAGGTAAAATATGCACTTTTTTCAATGTTTCCCGATAAAGCACATGTGCATGATGGAATGAATCCGGGGTTCTATCAGCATTTCTGGGATGTGGTGGGTGGGGATGTTTCGAGTTTTGTCACTGGCTGCCTTAATTCTCGTACCTTCCCTTATGGTTCGAATGATAGAGATGTTGTTTTGATCTCTAAGAAAAAGACCCTGAACTGGTCTATGATCTTAAGGCTATAGCCTTGAGTAATGTGGTATATAAGGTTATGACTAAAATGATTACAACTAGAATGAAGCCACTAATGAAGGAAATCATATATGACTCACAGAGTGCTTTTATACCTGATAGGCTAATCACAGATAATATCCTAATAACCGCATTGGTTGGTCATTATTTGAATAGAAAACGGTGTGGGGCTGTTGGATGTGGTGCTCTCAAGTTGGACATGGCTAAGGCCTATGACCGCATGGTGTGTTCTTTTCTTCGTAGCATGCTTTTGGCTCTGGGTTTTGATAGTTGGTGGGTGGAGCTTATTATGCTATGTGTGACTATAGTATCTTAAAGCGTTTTAGTGAATGGCTCTCGTAGTAGCCCAGTGACGCCAACCCGTGGCTTAAGGCAGGGTGATCCATTATCCCTCATCTTTTCATTATTTGTGCAGAATGGCTTTCTTTGTTACTATAATAGGCACAAAATAATGGTTCTATTCATGGTTGTAGAGTTGCTAGAGGTGCTCCCCTATCTCTCATTTGTTTTTTTGCTAATGATAGCCTCTTATATTTTAAGGCCAATGCTCAGGAGGCTGGGGAGATTAAACATCGTTTATCTGTGTATGAGAATTTATCTGGGCAGGTGGTAAACTATCACAAATCTAGCATATGTTACAGTAAAAATACACGAGAGGAGGACATGGAAGAAGTGGCGCAAATTTTAGGGGTTGTCCAGGCTCCTAATTTTGGTAAATATTTGGGGCTCCCCTCTTTTGTAGGAAGAAATAAGAAGACAACTTTCTCGTATATTGATGATAGACAGAGAATTAGATCCTGGAATAAGAAATTGTTATCGCAGGCTTAGGAAATCTTATTGAAAAATGTGGCACAGTTTATGTCTACTTTTTCAATGAGTGTTTTTTTTACTACCTGTGTCTGTTTGTAGGGCTATTGAGCGAACCATTTCAATGAGTGTTTTTTTTACTACCTGTGTCTGTTTGTAGGGCTATTGAGCGAACCATGAACCGTTACTGGTGGGGATCTGGAACTGACCGTGGTATTCACTGGAAAGCATGTGATAAATTATGCATCCTTAAGAAACATGGGGCCTGTGTTTTAAGGAACTTCGTGCTTTTAACCTAGCTATGTTGGGCAAACAGGCATGACGTTTACTTACTAAGGTTGATTCTGGTGTCACGTGTTTACAAGGCTAGGTATTATCCTAAGGGATCATTTTCTGATGCATGTTTAGGAAGTAACCTCAGTTTCTGTTGGCGCAATATTATGGCAGCTCAGGGTTTGATTTGTAGTGGGGTGAGGCGCATGATTGGGAATGGGGAGTCTAGAGATACAGACTGAGGGCTGGAGCTAGCGTAATGGGTTTGATTGACCAGGATACTAGTTCGTGGGATCATTCTATTCTATATGATATTTTTCTACATACTGATGTGACTCATATATTGAAAATCCCTATTTCCCAGGCTATGAGACACTTGGTATTGGCATGGAGATCCTAAATGTTACTATTCTGTTAAAAGTGGCTATAGACTCATTGTTGGGAATTATGTTGATAATGAGGGCATTTTTTATAAATGGCTCACCTATGGAAGCTCAAAATCCCTCAAATGAAAAACCTTTCTATGTAGAGTTGATATCCTTCCCACTACCAAGAATTTGCTTATAAAGAGGGTGAATGTTATCCTACTTGCGCCATGTGTGGAATCAGGCATGATAACACTATGCACTCTTTGGTTTTGAGTGATTTTGCAAGTTCCATATGGACTCAATCTCACCTTCCAATCCATAATATTGTGACAAATATTTTTCATGTTTGGTTTAGTGAAGTTTTGAATATTCTAGACACTAATGGGATTATGTACGCAGCTGCAATTTTATATTATATTTGGAAAGCAAGAAATGAGGCGGTTTGAGATGCTTATCTTCCGATGCCAAGGAAGCTTATAGCGACCACCACTGCAGCCATGCAAGCTTGGCGCCGTGTACACCCAGACTGCGGCCTTCAAGCGCCTGCCGAGCCACACGACCTTGCTGACGTCGCCATGCCTGCCGAGACCCATCCTGCTGCTGTGCCCAACGTAGCTGCACCACTCCACTGCCGAGAACCTGTCGCTTCGACGCCGGATACCACCACATGACGAACAAGGCCACAGTTGGTGTGGTCCTCCTCGACGGAAATGGAGGGTATGTTTCGGCTTTCAATGCTTCTCTCCACTTATGGCCGAGACATTCGCATGCAAAGAAGCCTTGTCATGGTTAAGGAATCGCGGAGAGCGGTCTATAGAGTTACTCACGGATTGTCAAACGCTTCAGCATTATCTATCATCCGCAACTGCTCCAGTTCGTTCATATATCGACTATGCTATTGATAGCTGTAGATCTTACATATCAGCTTTCAATTACTGTTTAATCAAGTTTATTCCTAGATCAGACAATTATTTAGCTCATTCTTTAGTTTCTACAGCATTTGATCAGGCTACTACTATGTATTGTGACTTTGTCTCTCCTAACTCTATTTTAGCTTATCTCTAATAAATGCCGCATTGGTTGATTTAAAAAAAAAAAAAAAACCAAGTAACAACGACAACTTTGGAAAGAAAGAGTTTTTTTTTTTATTTTTTTATTTTTATTTTAAGAATTAAGGGTCGGTTTAAAAATTTGGAAAATATTTTTTTAAAAATAATTATTAAAAAAATAATTCATTTAAAAAAAAAGATTAATTTTTTTTGTGTTTAGTTGGGAACACTATTGTTTGTCATGTCAGGAGATCAGCGAACAACATGTCAGGAGATCTGATTCATCCACTGGTTCAAGTTCTGGACTGTTAGTCCACCGGATTGTATTGCTGCTCTTTTAATTCATGAATGAAAGTTTTATGTTGGTTTCAAAAAAAAGTTAAGAATTGTACTTTTTCTATTTGGTGTATTTATTTTTTCTTGAAAATGAACTTTTTATTTCTTATAACAACAACAATAACCCCATTATTTACCATTGCAATTTGCAAACATTATTATTCACTTCATTGAGATTTGATTGCGGTAACGGAAATTAATAATGATGGTAATATCAAATTAATTGGATGCAATATTAATGTTAATTACTCCTTACTATTTTAGATTTCGTCAACCAAAATTACTTCTTTGACTCCCTATTAACGTCTGAGAAAAACGATATTTTATTTCACAAATGCCCTTGCAGTATTAAATGTATACAAATCACTCTGACTAAAAATATGTATATTATGTGTTAAAATAATGTACGTTATATGTTAAAAAAATGTACATTACGTATTAGAATAATGAAATATCTGAAATAATAGAATGTATATTATGCTTTAAAATAATGTACATTATGTGTTATAAAAATGTATGTTGTAACTGGCCGTACGAAAAAAATAAAATTGAACAAAACGATGTTATTTTGGACCGGGCGAAAAAAAAAATAAAATTGAACAAAACGACGTTATTTTGGACCGGGCGAAAAAAATAAAACTGAACAAAAACGGCGTCATTTTGGACTTAGTCCACACAGCTGTGTGAACCACAATCCACACAATAACTATTGGGATTGGAAAATACTACATGTACTCATATTTTTTACTCTTTAACTTGTACTCTCACACACAAAATCTTATGTAGACACGTGTATTGGGACTCACAAAAAAAGTAGTCTATCAATACCCGCCACATAAGGAGTAAAATTTAGGGAGTATGATGGGAGAGTCTATATAGTAGAACTCATTATACTTATGCTCAAAGTGGGTAGATCCCTGAGCCATTGAGTCACTACTTTATCGGTGTGTGGGGTTGTTTGGAGTTGTGGATTTAAGGAGAAAATAAAACACTAGATATGATGGAATGATTTATAATTATATTATTGCAATGATAAGTAAGTTATTTAATAATGCAATATTACAAAAAGTGAATTAACCAAGCTTAGTAAGGTCATTGGTGATGAGATATTCGGCAACGGAACCATATGTTTTATCGGTGAGATGAACACCGTCCCAATGCAAAGCCTTTTCGGGATTGGGGCATCCATTAACGCCGTCCGATCCACACAATCTATTGGGGTCGTAGTTATAGTCCCCGCCGGTTCCGCAACAGGCTTTCAGCAAATTTTCGGTGTCCAATCCAAAGTCTGCTGGGTTCTTGAGAACTCTGAGAAAACCAGCCCGTTGATCCCCTAAAACCACCTTAACACCTTCGGCTAAGAACTCATAGTTGAGGGGAGAAATTTCTTTGTCCAAGAGATCGTAGTGGGAGTTAGCGAGGTTGTTGTAATCTATGAGACATCCCTGGTCGTCGTAGGATGCCGGGTCGGAGCCGGCGGCGGCTGTGAGCTGAGCGGGGAGGCACCCGAAGGGATACGGCCCGGGAACAAGTATTTGCTTCGCCCCTATCTTGATAATCTCCCTCACGCCGGCGGCGATGGCCCCCACCACCGACGGGACGTAAGTGTAAACTTCTTCCAGAGATTTGCCGTTGTCGATGGAAGTAAAATAGTCGTTGCCGCCGTACTCGCCGAACACGAACAGAGATTCTTCGATCCTTTTCTTGCAGCCGTCGGCGGTTTGCCGGCAAGTGGAGTTAAGGTGCTCATCGAACCACTTGAGTTGGGCGCTGATGGGTTGCTTGAACGTCTTGAACTTAATGCTTCTCGCAGTGAAGAAATCTTCGTCCAGCGCCGTTGCTCCGGCGACCGCGAAATCAACGCCCTGAGTGAAGTCCGCGCCGTCGTTGAGGTACGGCTCCAGAAAAGAGAGTTTGTAATGGGTGGCGAGGTAGTCTATGACGAGGCGGCCGTCGGAGAATCGGCCGGTGGGTTCATGGAAGAAGGTTTCGCCGTAAGGAAGTTTTCCGGCGTCAAACTGCATCCCAAGCCCAGAAGCAATTAGGTTTCCGGTGTCGGAGAGAGAATCTCCAAATTGGAAGATGGAGTTCACAGTTATTTCAGCATGAGCTAAAGGAAAGAAGACGATGAGAAACACAAACCAAGAAGAAGAAGAAGAACCCATTATATTATATTGCTGCATGCGCTAGCTATAGCTCTTGAATTGGATGAATGATTGAATGATTCATTTGCCCATGCATTGCTGCAATTTATATGCTCAAGGTTTGTAGTTATTTTTTGTAAATAAATCTTAATAATATTAATATGCGTGATATATGTAGGAAACACGTTACAAATTATATATTCATCCAATTAAAAAGGAATTGGGATTGATTCAAAGGGAATAATAAACGGTTGGCGCGGTTTTGTTCAACGAGGAAGGGGGATATGTATCGGCATTCAGTGCACTCTTATCAGATTGTCTCTCCCCGCTTATGGCTGAGGCAATAGCATGTAAGGAAGCCTTGTCTTGGTTATGAAATCGTGGGGAACGCTCGGTACGCTTATTCACAGATTGTTTGACCCTACAACAATATTTGACAAATCAAGCTGTCACAGTTCGGACTTACGTTGGCTATGCCATTGATGCTTGTAGAGCACGCATTATTTCTTTCGATTACTGCTCAGTTGACTTTATTCCTAGATCAGAGAACTATTTAGCCCATAGTTTAGCGGCTTCTGCATTTAATTCTTCTACGATTATGTATTCAGACGATGTACTCTATTTCTGAGTACTTTTAATATATGCCTTATTGGCCACCTTTCAAAAAAAAAAAAAACTGGTTTTCCTTTTAAATAAAATTTTAATTTTAATTTTAACTAGTACCATAAATAATCTGGTTTTCCTTTATTTTTTATTTAATTAATAAATTATAATTATGTATTCAAAAAAAATTATAATTATATTTAATTTTTAATTGGTACCATATACTTTTATTAATTTATATATACATTTATTATTTATATTAGCACTAGTTGTAGAAAAGTTTTTAAAATATAGAAATCTTTTTTTTTTCTTTCAAAATAAAATTCTTATAACCCAAAAATGTTTATCATCTTGTAGCTAGTCTAATCAAATTTAACTATAACTTTTTCTATAGGCAAATTATTGAAATCAGTAGATATTTAATTTATTAATTACTAATTGGTTTTCGCAAGTAAATTACTGAAATTTGTAAATAGTTATATTGAAATTATTTAATCAATTATATTACTGTCAAGTACGTACTTTGTGCTCAGATAACACCTTTGTAGCTCAGAACTCTGGTGGTGGAGTGGTGGGTTATTGACTCTTTGAGCTACAATTGATAGAGATATTAACCTTAATTAGGAGGAGGTCTCCGGCCTGCTCTTAAGAATATACCATTATTGTTGGCATTTGTTTATTTTTCTTTCAAAAGGTTGAACCTCAACCCTAAGAGCTCCCCACATCCCGACCCGACAGAGCATTTGGGAGGATGTAAATTATGGTAAATCAACTAAACATGAACCACAAAGGACATTTGTTTATTATGATCAATGATGTCGTGGGCATATTCATGGATTCAAGTACCTTGTTTTTTTTTTTCTTTTTTAATTTTTTGTTAAATTTTTTTATTGAATATTACTGACTTTATTACAATGTAATATTTATCTATGCATACTTTCTAAACTTATTGAAGTACAAAGAATCAATGTCTCCATTGGAGTTCAAACATGTGACCTAATGAAATACCTTCTTTTATTCATTAGTTATTTTCTCAATCTTATTTGGCTATCTTTCCATGTCATAGCCAAGCACCTTGTGCTTAGATGACACCTCTATGACTCCCCTTGAGAGAAAGTCACAGGACCATACCCCGGCGTGGGGTGGTGAGACATTGACTCTTTGAGCTACAATAAATAGAGAAAATATATATTTAACATATACTACTTTGTAATAGAGTCAATAATATTTAAAAAAAATCTTTCCATGTCGTATGTATTGATTAGCTTTTATTTAGTTGTTTATTTTTATTCCTGATTAATTATTCATCATATATATTTAGGCTAGATAATAAAATATAGTTAGTACAGTATGTGTAATTCTTGTGAGATACGTCACTTGTTACTAAAAAACGATAGGACACTTATGATCTGAGTTGTATAGTTGCAATTTGATGTGCCAAATTTTGACCCTGTTGCTAGAGGCTACGTTATTAGGAACACTCTAATTTTATTAATTTAGTCAATATTTTTTATTTTAACTTTTATTTTTTTTGAGATACTTTTGTTTTTTATTAAGCTAGTCAATAAATTATAATTTTTTTTGAGAGAAACAATAAATCATAATTATATTTAGTACAATATAATTTTATTGATTTGGATACATTTATTATTTAATATTAACATTACTTGTATTTTTTACACATGGTTTCCACTATTGTTCGTTGGACATAATGACTAAACTTTTTGCTTGCTGAATTATAGCCATTTTTAATGAGTGGGAAATTTTTTTTTTTTTTTTTTTTTTAATATAGAAATCTTTTTTTTTTTTTTCAAAATAAAAATCTTATAACCCAAAATAATTTATAATCATCTTGTAGTACGGAGTAATTAACATTAGTTACGCATCCAATTAATTTGATATTGCCATCATTAAATTTCAGTTACGGAAATCAAATCTCAATGAAGGAATGGAAATAATAATGTTTGCAATGGTAACAGGGTTTTTTATTATTTAATGAATTTGTACGCTAAAAGTATCTCAAAATGAAAACGTCTGAGAAGGACGATGAGAAGGGTGTTGGGAACATTAATGAGGCAAAGGTTTAGAAAGTGTCTTTACCAAGTGTCCCACATTGGAAAGCTAGCCCATCTTATCTCACCTTTTAAACACTAACTCCTTTTACAAGGTTTGAAGTGTTATGGAGGGAAATAAGGAGAAACCGCGCGCGCGCTGTCGCAACCTGCCCGCCCCGGTGGGGTGGGGTCAAAGTTTTGCACCCCCTCTATATTTTCGTGGAATAACTAGTCACCTTGTCCGCTTTTCTTTCTAATCTTCAGAACGTGAGCGAACGGAGGCGTTGGTTTTGTCCACACTCCACACTTTTAGCTTTGTCTGTATGGCTGAAAGGGGCTGGGCGGTTATAGCTTCCAGTATATAAACCGCCCTTCCCTGAGCTCTGTTGTTATAGCTTCCAGTATATATATATAGCTTCCGGTTATAAGGTACACTTTTCGATAACGTAAACACTCCTGAGCTCTGTTGTTCTGTGCTAAACCTGTCGAAAACTTGCGATTCCCTGGTCGTAAAGGTTTTTAAGGTAGTGTAACAACACGACACAGAAATCTATAATCCCCATCTTCGATCACACGATACAGCCATATTAACAGTACTGCTACGTACAACATTGTTTGTTTTCGCACTGCAAAACCAACAATTAAAAACCTTTACATTGCGAATTCAACAATGGTTCAAGAGACAAACCACGCCTCTGATGTCACGCCCATCCAACCTCTCACTGGAGGTCTGAACTACAGAAGATGGTTCGCGAAGCTGGTGATGCTGCTGGAATCAAAAGACGTCGATTATGTGAAAATCGAAGATCCTGCAAAATTCACCATGGCTGACGTGCAGTCCCTAGCCTCGTCTGCCCAGAAGGATACTTAGGTAACGGCTTCTGACGACTCTACTGATCCTGACGCAACGACAGCAGTGTCCAAGGATCCCAAGTCGACATCAACAGAGCCTTCATCAATATCCCAGGCTGTTCGTGCGAAATACGAAAAAGACAACAAGACTGCTCGCACTGCCATACTCCAACGCATTTCAGATCCTTTGTTTGACATGTTTTCAAAGCATAAGTCAGCAAAGCTAATCTGGGACTTACTTAAGGAAAAGTATGGTGGTGACGATGCAGGAAGAAGGAAATATGCAGTAGGACGATGGCTGCACTTCATGATGACAGATACCAAACCAATTGTTGATCAGGTACATGAATTTGAGAACCTCATTGCAGACCTGAAGGCAGAAGGAGGTGAAGTCAATGACGTTGTCCTGTGTGATTCACTAGTTGATAAGCTGCCCGAGTCCTGGGTAGACTTTAAGAACAAAATGAAGCACGATCGACGCACCTATACCTTGCAACAGCTAATCAGTAGTCTCAACATTGAAGAAGAAAACCGTCTGGTTCACAACACTGTAACCGCTACAGGTAATTTTAAAGCAAATGTTGTTGAAACTAATGCAGGCTTTAATAAGCCTAAAGCAGGTGTTAACAGTAGAAACCAAAGGAAGAATTCCAAAACCAATAACAACAATAATCGTGTCAAAAGTGGCCAAATTCAGAAAAAGGGGAAAGGTTTTGGAGAATGCTACGTTTGTGGTAAACGTGGCCATCGTGCTGCTCAATGCTACCACCGCAAAGGAAGCACGAACCAGAACACTCAAAAGCCATCCGCTGAAGGGCCTAAAAGCCAAGCTCACATAGTGGAAGACGAAGAAAACTCAGATAAAATAGCAGCAGTAATAACCGAGGCTAACACGGTAGAAGATCCAGACGAGTGGGTCGTAGACACAGGAGCGTCACGCAACTTCTGCAACAATAAAGATCTCTTCAAAGAGTTCGAGCCAATCACTGGAGGTGAACAAGTGTTCATGGGAAACTCCAGCGTATCCCAGGTATGTGGTAGAGGAAAAGTAGAAATAATGCTCGGGTCAGGGAAACAAATAACTTTACAAAATGTGCTCTTTGTTCCCACCCTTCGTAGAAATCTAATTTCTGCAGGCCTGCTTAATAAGGCCGGAATTAAGCTAGTTTTTTAGTCTGACCGAATGGTCATGACCAGACGTGGAATCTTTTTGGGTAAGGGATACTTACGTGGAAGACTTTTTGTGCTAGATGTTACAGTAGTTAGAAAGCACTCTGATGTAATTGGTTTTGAAAACCACATCCCAGCCTCGCATGTTCAAAACGTTAATAATAATGCATATTCTTCTGCTTACATTACTGTCTCTTTAGATATGTGGCATGGTAGATTAGGACATGTTAGCACAAAATGTTTAAACAAAATGAGGAGCATGAATTTGTTGCCAAATTTGTCTAATGATGCATGTACATGATGTAGCAAAAATGTGAGTGATGGTGAGTGTACGGGTGTGTT